TTCACTCCGCATATCAGCAAGAATCGAGGGGGCTGACGTGGATTGCGTGTCAGGTTGTGCGGTTGAGTGCGGTTTCGTGGATCCAGAATCTTGATGGCTGCTCCTTTTGTCTCTCCAAGCAGCTAACAACTCAGGGAGGGACGGAGTGGGGAGAGAGTCGTTGGGGTGGAGAGGAGGAGGAGAGGCGGCGATAGAGGGTGCGATTTGAGCGGTTGAGTGCGGTTCTGTACACGGTGGAGAGGGGTGCAGTGCGGTTGAGTGCATTGCTGATGACGGCAGAGACGAAGTCGAGTCAGGGTCCGAACTGGAGCTTCGAGACTGAGACGTGCAATGCGGCTGAATGCGGTACCGTTCTACAAAATGCGGTTGGGTCCGACGTGGTTCGGTGCGGTGTGGCGGGGTGCGGCGCTGCTGACACCCTGACAGCGAGGCCATGGATGAGACGCGACACGGGGCCGACGGGACGAGGGGACGCGAGAGGAGTGATAGAGAGTCATACGGGTGAGCGACACGAGAAGGCTCGACGTGGGCTAAAACGCGACAACCTGTGGCGGCGACAGGACTCGCAAGAAGCGCCATATCGGTGGGATCAAGCGCCGCGCGGCACGGGCCTAGCAAAACTTCAGTGTCACTGTGCAGCAATGGTTGCGCGAACGATGAGAAAATTGCGTGAAATTTGCGGGGAAATTGCGGGTGAGCGGCGTGGGCAGGAATCGCGGGGTCGGATACTCCTGTAAGGAGACGTGCGACCATGTGAAGAGGCGCGGATCTAATAGCAAGGAGGTGACGCGATTTTCCTAGGAGCATATGTTTCAAGTTCCTGGGACTGAGAGATTTATGTGTGTAGCGAAGAATCTCAGCAAGAAACTGTGTTACGTTTCATCTTGAGATCGCGAAGGGCATCCCCACGTTTCGATTCATGGTCGCCAGTTTGGAAAAGCTTCGTGTAGCTTCGTATGTGCGGTTTCATCATTCTTCGGAGGTGGAAAACAAAAGCTCTCAGCACTCTCACAATACATGCATGATCTAGAGGTTGTAGTTGTTCACGTCCCGTCCTCCATTTTTGCGTACCTAACATGCATGGCAGACTGAAATGCAACTACAATAACCTCGTGTGAACGTAAGCCCCCAACAGCCTTGCTTTCACAATATAGGCTTTCTTTAGCAGCTGACTATTCACTGGCCACTTATCTTCCATTCCGGTCATACGGTACCACGTCATTCACAAGCATCCGCATTGCACAGCGAAGTATGGAGCCTGAAGAAAAAAATCCTGCAAAGCAAAACGAAGGGGGTAGCCTTAATGCGTTATGTCACGGAACAAGGATTTATGGAGGACAGGCTTAAGCCCCAAACAACTTTTTTACACTTCACCTTGCTCGCGCGGGCAAAATCCACTAGTCATCAAACGACCACTGGTTCTCGCGACGAATTTCTTCCTCTTCTTCTGGAGTTAATGAGTTATCTATGTTGAATATCCAGCGGATTTCCTCTGGCGTCTTTCCTCGAATCATGTCAACAACAGTCTCGCATGATGTAACCTCCAAAACGACGCCGTTTGGCAGAAGGATGGATTCGCTAGCAGAAGACACGTCGGCATCTTCATCCACATTCTTCACGGTGTCGCTCTCAAGGGCTACTTCTTGGTCTACTTCGACAATCTTATCATCTGAGCTCTCCTGGTCCAACTTAGTGTCCGCCATGATGCTTTGCTAGTGTAACCGCAAGGAAGAATCGTCCATAAATATACTCCATTGCCAAGCACAACCATTACTCGGATTGTCTCGCAGACAACAAACTAGCGATCGAGCGATGTTGCGTGGACTACAAGGTCAGCAGAAGCTGAGGTTGCAACGATTTTACCTTCGTTGGACCGGACGGACTCAAGCAAGTGTGGCTTCCAGCAGTGCGAGAGCAGTAGTCTATCTGGGCGTTGGAGCATCAGTTTCCTCCAAATCCCCCTGTCGGAGGTTACCCGATTCCGCCAACGTCGCATAGCCCATCCCCTCTCGCCTTGCCCCGCATGTGAGCAGCATCTTCGTGACTCCAGTTCCAAACCAACCCCCTCGCATGAAAGGTGCGGCGGTCACACACAGCTGGTGGTGAGTGAGAGCCCTGCCACGCCAGCGCGAAGCAGCTTCGGTTCGAGGTGGTCCGCCAGACCCCGGACCAGACCACCCGCGCAAGCCCCTCGGACCACCCGCGAGCCCCGCGGACCACCCCAGTTTTCAGAAGCCGATAGAGTGTAACGCTATTAACATTCTAACACTTCATCTAAATTTTGTTCTTTACCTATGTTGCTGATATGATACGATATCACATACCGTATGGTGAATTCGCCTCCGAGGCTAATCATAATGTCGGTGCAGACAGATTACATAGAGTCTGTCTCAGTAAGAAACCGCATTTTCGTCCCTAATTCCATATTCACAACCTACCACCACATCCAGAACTGTCAACTCACACATACCGTATTACCCCGGATAGAAGCGCAGGTGCGCTTATAATAAAACAGTGTTTTTTAGGGGGGTGCGCTTCTAATCGAGTCATTTTTATAAGCGCATGCGCTTGTAGTAATAGGAAAAAAAAACCACTTTTAAACATACCAAATTGAAGCCCGCAATAAGGCGAATTCAACCGACCATGCAACACGTGGGATCGAGCATGATTTTCAGACAAAACAGCAGCGGTTCGGTTTCCCACCGCACAGTTTTGTCTAGAACCATCGATCGTGACAGCAGTGACGGGGATGTTGCCGTGCAGCCCAATCACAGTCGCATGCATTGCATGGCATGTGCATTTCTTCCGAACCCTCTCGAAGGGTGGCGAATATTCCCTGCCAGCGCTGCGTTTATGCTGCCACGCAGGGTCCACTACGGGGGTAGGCAGGGGTTTCCCGCCTGTCATTGACGAGGACCCCGAGGCGCCAACCTTACGGGGTCCCCTTCGTTGCCCATTTGTTCACCCTCGTTCTCTATTCTTTCATTCAGATTCCAGTATAGGCCGCCTGGCCGGCGAAGCCATGGCGGAATTCAGCGGGACGCACTTCCTCTTCAAGAACAAGAGAGCTCGCCCATGGCGACTTACCGACGACGGGTGGTATACCCGTGAGCTAGCAGCGCCTCGAGTGCCACCTGAATCCCCTGCGCCCCCTGCGCCTCCTGCTCCTCCTGCACCTCCTGCTCCTCCTGCTCCTCCCGCACCTCCCACTCCTCCAAATCCGCCTGATATCGGTGCCAGTGCTCACCAACGGCCCGTGCTCCAGCTGTATTTACCAGCCACTTTCGACGAGTGGCTGTCTGAACCGGACACACCCAAGGCCCCCGATGTGTTCATCCAGGCTCCGCCGCCTGCACCACGGTGGGGACAGCCCGAATCCTGCACGTGTGACGAGTCGGCTGTGGGCGCCGACGATGACGTGGCCGCCGATAAACAAAACATCGGCGACGACGACGGTGTCGGCGACGGTGAAGCGGGCGCCGAGGAGGACGTGTTCCCATATCGTGGTGCAAGTGCCGAGGACGACGACGGTGTGGAGTCATGGTGGCGCGACGCACCACGCGAGAAGATGCCGATATCGACGTATCCGCCGATGAACAAAAAACGACCCCACCCCTCCTCCGAGAACCGAGATGCCCGCCCCCCCTCTCCCAGGCACAAGCTGTCTCAACATAAACGGCAGTCCTACACCTCCCAGGAGAAACTCAGGTGGCTCGTGCGGCTGGAGCTGGCAGCATCGATAAGCGAGGTCGCGCGGGAGTCCGGCATACACCGCAAATGCCTGACGGAGTGGAAAACCCAAGCAGAGGAGTTCAAGGCTTCACATGCCGCATGGTGTCGACTTCATCGGCACGGGAGGTCTTCTTGGTACAGACCCATGGAGTTAAAGGTGTACGCTCAACTCCTCGACTGGCGACGCCGCGGTGTTGCAGTTTCAGTCGGCCGACTCCAAGAATGGTCACGCGAAGTGATGAAGGTGCTGTTCCCGGAAGTCAAGTGGAAAGGGAGTCAGCGGTGGTCGGAGCGGTTCCGCAAGCGGTGGAACCTCAGCGTGCGCATGAAAACTAAGGTGGCGCAGAAAACGCAGGAGCGTAAGTGCTTTGTTTCTCGCTTACCTCGAGCGAATTCGCATGCTTTATGAGTTGTACTCATCCTTCTTCCTATCTGTCCTTCCCTCCCCGTGCGCAGACGTGGCGACGCAGTGCAAAGAATTTTGGCAGTTCGTCCGCGACGCACGCAACGAGTACGCGATTGACAATCGATACATAATCAACGCCGACCAAACGCCTCTTTGGTTGGAGATGCCGGCCACTACCACCGTGGAGCAGACGGGCATGAATTCGGTGCCCATCTGCAGCGCTGGTTACCAGAAAGAATGAGTCACCGTGATGTTGGCGTGCACGGCGACGGGCGAGAAGTTGAAGCCGTGGGTGTTTTTCAAGCGCAAGACACTCCCTAAGGGTGACTTCCCGAACGGTAAGCACATGTTCTTGTGCGTGTTTTGGACGTATATAAAAAAAAAAGGGACTAACCACCGCTTGCTTGTGTGCAGATGTCGTGGTCGGCTGCCAAGCGAACGGGTGGATGGAGGCCACGGGCGTCATCCAGTGGCTCGATGAGGGCGTGGTGCCGTTCATGAAACCCAAATTCGGCGTGCAGAGTCGGAGCGCCATGCTAGTACTCGACTCCTACCGTGGTCACCTTACCAAGGAAGTCAAGGCGAGATTCGCGGCGCTCAACATCGTGCCGGCGGTCATCCCGGCAGGATGCACGACAGACGTGCAGCCGCTTGATGTGTCAGTGAACAAGAGCTTCAAAGCAAGTGTTCGCTAGCAGTACCAGTCCTGGTTTGAGGCGAACGGCATGAACATCCTGACACCTGCAGGTGAGCGAGGACATGTCCTCCCGTCTCCCCTTCGTGTGCTTGTCTGCCTGCTTGTGTTCTAATGTCCCCACTCCCTTTCATGTGGTGCAGGGAACATCAAGAAACCACCCCCGGA